TTGCATTGAGTGGGTCTTGTCACAAGACTCTTAGGCATCCACCTTGTGACCCACACAACACAAGAAGTTGATCAATTATGAGATCACGGGAGAACTCGCGACAGTGTAAAATTAGCCTTTCCCAAAAACTTTCGGGAAGGCCTGTGTTATATGAGCCAACCCAAAACTCTTGGAAGATCCTCCCCGGTCGGTACACAAACGGGATCAGGTCACAAGGGTCCAATAGGTACGATCGCCGTGGTAACTTCAGCTCGCACAGATGCTCTCCGTTGGTGAGTTAAGAAGAGCTTCGAGTGAGGAGGACTTTACTGAACAGAAGAGGTGCTGCACGACCCCTCTGTCGAATTCCCATCTCTATAGGAAATGGCTCAGACATGCCGCCTCGTGTTCGAGCTTGTGCTCTAGTGTTACGGTGGGGTGATTTGATAGCCGCAATCAGCTTCTCATCACAGTCGGCCGGTCCGAGAGTCATTTAAATAGCACGACGTGGTAAATTCGTTCAAAAGCTGCTTTCGAATCAAGTAAGACATCAGATAGCTCACGAATGGCTATAGACGATTACAGGCCTCTTATCTGTGCACCTCCTTGTGCGCACCTTCGTATCGACACTCAGCACCACCGTGGCGCTGACATCATCACGTTTCACGCATGCCCAAACTCCGGGAATGCGGAATCCATTATCAGTTTCCCTCTTGAATCCGTTTGAGAGAGTCCCTATGCAGTCACACTGATTGTGCCACACCAACCTCACGCTCCTTGATGATCGAGATAAGTGACTCTATTGGCAATAGACTATTGCCAACCCACAATCATCAACAGTCCATGACCCGATCAGGGTCCGAGGATCTTGGATTCGGTGTTCTCAGTTGGTATTCGTCCCCTCCCCCTAATCATAATGCTCCGTGATTTCGCAATCATGTACATGCTAGTCGCTGCACTGCGAGACTTCTCGACTACCGAGGCTGTGCCTGTGACGGTTGTTGTAACCTCTCTTGATGCACTCATGCCGCGGGATTACCTTGACTTGTTCACATCGGGTGTTAACCATGTTGTACTCGCCGAGAACTGGCTCTCAGCGGATGGATCCATTATATTCCCTCGCGCATGGATGACGGTGCCGCTCGCCAAGGAGATACACAACTATGCTGTTCAGCACAATGCCACCGTATCCATAGGCATCGTGCCGCAGCCCTTCATAAACAATAACAGTAGGAGTCTACAAGATTTTGTTTCGAACGTTCAAACTACTATCAACAGCTACCATGTGGACGGGCTTCTCTTTGAATTCTGGCTCAAGTCGTCTACACCAAGCGGAGATAAGTGGGAAGTGGTCAACAATTTGACTTCCCTCACTCGTAGCAAGTTGAACTCAAGTAGAGGGAACGCGGCTACGGCTTCAGTCATGTAGGGCACGAGGAATGAAGACCCTGGCTGTGACTGGCAATCACCTTCTTTTCAGGTTCAGTGGCGAGTCTCTATCATCAAGCCTTTGGGAAGACTTGAAAGTCTATCAGCCATGGAATTATACTGATAAATACTACAGCGTCCTGGATAGCAACTCAGTGGATTTCAAAACTCAAATTAGCATCGAATGGGCAAGCAACATCACCAATCGGTTCGCCAACTACTCTGCAAACATCTCTCACTTGTCGCTCACTGTAAGTCTGTTATACCTTAGTGATGTATAGTGTCGTGACTGGATAAGGCGTGTTCTCAGGTAATCCCGGAAGGCCGCTTGGATAATCTCACCGATGCCAAGCCTTATCGAGAGTTGATCGATGACGGTGCACCAGCATCAGGCGATGGATACTTCGACAACTTCTACTACAACTCACAGAAGCAAATCAAGGAAAAGGCCCAGCTTGTGAAGACTAAACGCCTTGCTGGCCTCAGCATACTTTTCCCCAACTTTGATCTTCCTGCTACCAATGCGTCCTCTCTGCTACATGCAGCCGTTCTTGGATAGTTCAGTAGCTTCCAGAGCCGGAAAGCGCTCTCATTCGGACTCTGTGGATGGCACATATTTTCAGTTGGAGGGAGATGAGTGCGTAACCGTCAGTAAGTGACGTACATTCAACGCAAACCGGCTGTCATCCCACAAACCTACATTATCTTTTGTGGTTCTTATCGTTCCGCTTTTTTTTCTTTGGTCATCGTACGATGAAAGTCCGGATTCTTCTATCTACTTCGTCGAATGAGTTTCAGTTATGAATGACAATCACAGGTTACCCGGCTCCCTTACTACCCGGCGTTGGGTGGTGGGCCGGAGGATGACACTGAACACGTGTGATCCTCGGCCAATGTGATGGGGCCAACCTTACACGTAACGCGAGGTGCCACACCACATCGCCAGGGTGAGCGAGAGGTTGAAAAAATGGACGACAAATAACTGAGGCGAAGGTGGGATGTAACCCAAAATCCTGGAAGAACTTTGAATCACTGCTAAATAGCGTTAGGTGATGTGTCGACACAACGTGTCTGTCCCTTCACACACTTCGGATACCGTCGCCGAGTAAACTGGCCCAACGAGTTGACCTCGAATAGTGGGCGATTTGGGTGACCAACAGACCGCGAGGCACATCTTCGCATTAGAGCAAACTCGAAGAGTGGGCCAAAAACGGGGGGATGCACCTCGAATCATCTGTTGAGCTCTGCGTAGCAGAAGTGGCGTTTACACGAGCCAAGCAGCAGAAGTATGGGCGACAAGCCACACAACCGAAAACTCAGCGCAATAGCTGAGTGGTGCGATAAGTCGCGCACTTTGAGCTAGTAAAACTATTGTGAATAATATTAAGACCAAATATTAATAGTGCTATACATTATTTTTTTGTCTCATGGAAGCCCCTACACCTCCCACTGCCAAGCTCATCAAGGATTTGCTAGGCGAGAACCCCATCTCCGAGGAGGACCTCACAACCTTGGTAACGCATCTTGACTCAGGATTCTTGAGAGAACCGCGCTTACCACAGTAGACTATCTGGCAAGAGCACCGTCGACTCTCATCGACGTTGTCATTAACAAGTATCCCAGCGAAACTGGCAAAGCTTTGGCTTGGTGTGTTGGCCCTATCGGAGGAAAGCTCCACCTGACATGATACCTCAGACCAGGTTCCTCACAAAGCTACAGAAGGATCCTTAATAAGGATTCCTTATATGTATGTCCGCATGAGCGAGCTGCACTCGGCCTTGGATCTTGATGACCCGACCATTACCACCAAAGAAAATCTGGAAACTGGTAAGTCAGTCCACCTGAGCGACGTAGATCATCAATCAAGCGTAACTTACCAGATGCCTTGACAACACAAACAATTTTGGTGCAAAATGTATCTTCGGCTATTTCTGGAAGTGTTGTCATGTGTCCGGGGAAGTTGGATCGAGATAGGTCGCTAGTAATAGTGGAAAGAGCGTAGAAAACCTCAAGATCTCGTTCCGTTGCGGTAAGTCACGTAAGGACTTCACGCTGAAGTGACGCGCTGCGGTCACGTCCAGTCGCGTGCACCCTCTGGGTTGTCGTAACATGCGGAACTGTAATCAGCACATTATGACGCTGTTATTCGCTAGCTGCAATCACCTTCTCATCGCAACCGGACAGCCAGCCAGCGCTCTAAATAGCAGGACGTGGAACTTCGTCGAAAGCGGCCTTCGAATCAAGAAAGACAGCAGATAGCTTCCGAGTCGCCAGTAGCGACCATCAGGTTGGGTTGTTGTTGTCCGACTGGCGGCCCTGCCTGTGCAGAGTAGACGGTATATGGCTGGCACGGCACCAGTGACGCAAAAAGCCTTAACCGTAACTAGCTGTTAGCGGTAACACCCGCACTGGTTGACTCAACAACATCTGGGATAGCCATAATAGGCAATGAGGCTTCTTATCTTATCCATTTCAGGCTGAAATTTCCAGCCTGAGGGCTGCGAGCCGTTTAATGCGACGAAGACTTCCCTTCGGGAAGCGCTTCGCTCCGCGAACCACTTCTGTGCTAAAATCGTTCCTTTTATGGAAAATTTGATCCAGTTGATTGAGCTTGTAACGCTCTCAAACCACTTCTGAACCAAATGAAATAGCGCTCGCCTTAGAACAAAAATTGCAAATAGTTTATCGAATAGCTCTCCGTCACGGTCGAAAACAGAGCAGAGCTCCTGACTCAAGGAAGTACTATTCCTGATGACATTATGGATATGTGGATGGCTATGCTCTGTGGGCAGGGTGGGGTTACAGCTGCTCGAGGCGTATTTGTGGGAACAACTCACTTCGGCTTCTCGCGGGTCCCTGATAGCATCCTGAAAGGCCGTGAGCTCTATCTCCAACCCGTTCTGGATCTGGCATGTGGGCACTATGCCGCATCTGCCGTTGTGGATGGTCAGGTGAATTTCATGGACAGTATGAATATGTCGGTCCCGTCTTCGGGTTTTTTTGTACGAACCCTACGCCAGCTGTATGGTTCAAAACGTGTACTTAATGCTTCGGTCCAACAGCAGAGTTACGGGAGTAATTTATGCGGAGTTCTTGTTATTGCTAGACTTACTGTGGTTGTTTTTAACCGCCAGCGGTTTCGTCTTTCGGTGTTTGATGAAGCTAGTATGAGATACCATTGGGCTGCATGCATTACTAGGAAAGAACTTAGCAGGTTTCCGGAAATCTTTCCCGCGCTAGCTAGCATGTTATTCTCACCTGAAGGGGAATTCAATACCTGAGTTTAAAGCTTTTGTGAGAGTTCTCAGAGTGTAGTTGTCAATTAAATATTCCACAAATATTTCCTTAATATCGGACGACGATGATAAGCGTTCATTGATCACCCAAGCTGGGTGGCCCAACTAGCTATGTCTTCACCCTTATCAGAACTCTTGCCGCTATGTATCATAACCACAGTTACTAGTGAACATAACGCCTAATCTATTGATGATTTCCGAAACCATACCTTTGACTACGTTACTTGACGTACGAAGTATGGGGAAATCCTCATTTCTAAAGAATAGGCCTCTTTTCTAAAGAAGTTTAGCGCACGCTCCCACCTGCATTTCGACTTAGCCTTGGATTGCAGCCTGGCCTTGGATAACAATTCGGGTTTCTGGTTTCCCGTCGGGTTTCGGGTGGGGTTTCGGGTTTCCCTTTCTCCGCTTTCACCTGCAGTTCTTTTTTTTTGGAATTTGCAGTTTAGATTCTCACTTGCGTTACGGTCATCACCTGGATATCAGCCTTTACTTTCCATTAATGGCGCGCGCTGATATTCTTTGGTTTTTATGCATCTCGCTTAGATTTGATGCAGTGCCCTACGAAGTATAACCACTAGCGGCTAGTAAACCTCAACACAGTGTACTAACTTAAGCTGTAGCCTAAGTCCCAGGCCAGTAAGAATCAGAAGCTTAACTTACTCCTGTCCTTAGTCTAACCTTTAAGAGCACTAGGCGAGTGCTCGAGCAAGGCCTCAGCACGCATGCAGAAATACGTGACGCCACCGGTGTCACGGCGCACAATACAATAACAGTAATAACAGAGTAATACAGTCAAGGATATACACCGGGAAACCGTATAATGGTTCATGAGTCTCCGTTCACTGCGCTGGAGCGCACAACGGCCCGTAATAATTACGACATAATTTAGGAGTCTACACTTGTAGACTACAAGGAATGAGGTTATAGGTTGAGACTTGTTAAATTGCGACATGTATACTCTTCGGTAGACGCAGGCCTGTCCTTTACTCTCCCTCGCGGTGAGGGCTTCACTCACAGTAGCGGAAGGCAGGTCGTTTTAAGACGTGTGAAAAAACCCAAGTCGTAAAATTTAACCCGTGCGAAAGCATCCCAAAAATTTAGTACAGAAGTGGAAGTAAAGTTTTACCCGGTGTCAAAAATTTCTTCATCGGAAAAAATAAAGTGAGTAAAAACGTGCAGAATTTGGTACAAGTTGTACCGTACAACAGTGGACATTTTACCCACTACAAAACTTAATCGTTTGCGTGCGAAAAAGTCCTGATCCGGTATAAATCGCTCACCTATCATCGTTTAGTACAAAAGTGGTTTAGTACAGAAGTGGAGACACGGAAAGATATGAATAACGCACATAGAAGATACTACTGGACAATAGGTTGGAATAGGTTAATTATTATTTAGATATCGACGATAACTGTAAGATACCGACCAAGGTTCATCTTTTGGCTCCCAAAATGTCCTCCCCCGACTCGCGGCCTTCACGTGGCGAACCGGATGAGCCGCTCGCTGTCTCTTCGACAGCTGATGCGGTGACCGACAGCAAGCGGAGAGGACGACGCCAGGGGACGCGATCACAAGACGCCCTGAGGAGGCGTCGGGCGGCAAGAGCTGCCAGGCGTCGACTCAAGCGCCAGCGTACCCGGGCACATCGCGATAGTTCTGAGAGGCGTAGGACACCCTCAGTTACTGCGAACTACAGTCCTCATAGTGGTGGATCCACCAGGTCGTACTTCCGTAGGGACGTAGACCCCAGTGTGATACGCATGTACACCTGGAACGTACGTTCTCTATTAGGATACGCCAACAGGTTGGCAGTCGTTGAGTCCTTAAAGGCGATCGGGAGTGATGTCCCAATAATCGCCCTACAGGAAACTCGACTACGAGAGGAAGTGCAAGGAGAATCGCTAGGGGACCACATCCTCTACAGCTCTCCTGCACTACGCGGAATCGGTGGAGTGGGTTTCCTAGTCCATCCCAATGTCAGGGTTCAGTCGTGGGTATCTGTTTCTAACAGAATAGCTCACATCACGCTGAACAGTGGCATAACCATTGTTGTGTGCTACGCTCCCACAGAGGTAGCGCCGCAGGGTCAAAAAGATGAGTTTTGGGATGCTGTCGAAGAAGTGGTGAGACTAGAACGTCCGGAAATTGTCTGCGGTGACTTCAACGCCAGGCTAGGTTCAGATCTCGCAAGGGATCCGATCCACGGCCTCGGCAAGGCTTATGCCTATGAGGAGACCAATGACAATGGATGGAGACTAGTCATGCTTGCTGCTGCCTCA